AGATCAAGCGCGCTAGAGGGCGTGTTTGAGGTTCACCCCTCCAACAGTGTTCACTGTCTTTAAGCCTGGTACAGTATTTGCCATTTTCATTCGCTATCGTTTCTCCCAGATTTCTCATTAATTATTTATCGAGGAACGAACTCTGTGCCGCGGAATCCGAAATTCCTTTCATTGTTTTTATTTAGTTTTGATGTTACTGTTTCCTTCAAATCTTCGAAATTCACTCGAATATTTGGCATTCTGTGACGTAATTGATCTGTGCGATCCATGGTAACGCATTTCAGATGAACATTTCCGCAGAAGACCAGCTACTCATATTACGTCTTATCGAAGAAGACAAACACTTAAAACTCGAATGGGGTTATTTGATACTGGTTATCGTACCACTTGTTTGTGTGCTTGGTAACTGTATGGTTGTAGCAGCTGTATGGACGACAAAAAGTTTACAAACACCCACAAATCATTTATTAGTGAGTCAACCTCTCTATTTCACTTTTTCCCTCATTGATTTCCCAACACCACAGAAAATGCACCAAGATTCTTTGTTGATTTTCAGGTATCATTGGCCATGGCGGACCTAATTGTTGGCACTTTTGTGATGCCATTCAGTATTTACCTCTCAGTATGTGCACTGTTTCGAATTTCTGCGAAACAAATTTCAAAGTAGCTGATTTCAGATTAACGGGCTCCACTGGCACCTACCTCTACCTGTTTGTTACTTTTATTGTGTATTAGACGTTGCAGCCAGCACTTCTTCTATCGTCCATCTAGTCTTGAATTAGTATTGATCGGTGAGCCTCATATTTCCTTCAGACTCACATTCTTGAAGACAAAAACAATGCACATTGCAATAAAACAGATGTTCATGAAAAAGTGAGATGGGTAATTGCGACTGCGTTCTTCTACCAGCGCTCAGCACTGCGTGTTGAACGGTCAGATGGCGTGGGTTTGCGACAAGGCGTGGGTGGAGCAGGGTCAACCGTCCGTTGGACAAAGTCCAACGCATGGCTCTCTAGCGTGTGAGAGTAATGCCGAGAGTGAACGTACGCACGGAGACACAGACGGCTCGCGCAAGGCGAGAATGAATGCCGGCGCGGAGAGCGGTGTCAACGTCGGTCCAACGTCGGTCCAATATCGGTCCAACGTAACGGTTGACCCTGGTTGGGAGAGCTTCTAGCGCTCTTGTCGCTCACTTTCTAACTACCTAAATGCAGCGCGACATCACATACATATATGCGCTATTCTACCATGGTGACAGAAATGGCGAATACGCCAAACCCATGTCCCACCCAGTCACGTCCGAAGTTTACCTGTAGAATACGAGAACACTCATGCACTCGAATTCCCACCATAAGGCGCATCAGTCAATGCGGAAAGTCAACATGTGATCGCAACGCTTTTAAGATGAAAAGGAAGATCGAGAACAAGCTTTTTTTCTGCTGCTCGAATCCACATTGCGAAGGAAGTGCAGGAAATTTAGTGACACCGGAACGCCCAACACACTTCCACTCTAGCTTATAGCCCTAGCCTCGTGCCAACGGGTTACCACCTTACTTTCCTCTCTGGGCGCTTTCCTCTTACGCTGATCAACATGATCTACAGCCGACAACTATTTTCTTCTCATCGAAGCCCAAACTTCCTAGAAAAAAAAAGTTGTGAGCAACCCCAGTGCGCTGGCGTGTTCTGGAGATCATTTACTTTACCATTGTGACAAGACATTTACCATTTGTCCATGCGTAGACAATACGTTGTAGATAATGATGGTGGATGTCACGACATATAAACAATTTGAGGTAAATAAAAAAAAATTCAAGCGAAAACGAACCAAGGTGATCATGGACCCACCCTATTCCTAAAAGTGTCAGCGTACAGTTTGCAATGGCTAAGCAGAGTCGAAAAAATAGGTGCATTCAAGTATGCCAGTATTAGCTACTTCTTCCATCACTCCACTCCCATTTACCACATATCCGAAAATGAAAATAATGAATTAAGCATCGGTCCTCCTAACTAATTCCATGAGAAAGCGAAGCGTTTGAGCGCTTCTTCCACTCCAAATGTGAGTTGAACATGTGCCGTGAAGGGTTGATCGATGCGGACATTTTATGCTGCTATTAATCCCTGCTTCGTAGTAACCAACCACTTCTATTTATTTTTAATCGTTTTTAATCGTTTGCCTCCGGAATACGACCTGGATGCCTTTTTTGAAGCGGTGCAGTGCTCGATGAACGTCATTGGACGACTTGTAGTGAAGATAAGACCGCCGCAAGCGCAACAGGGCGGAGAGGGGATCGTTCCTTAATTGCCATTCCATCACCAACGCCCAATGATGTAATCAAAAGCGCACCGCACTCCAAGCACCGTGATCATCGCCTTTAACAAAGCGCGATTGCACTATCCAATACAGGCCTGGTCCAAAGATAGGAGGTTCAAAAGTGGGTCCACCGTATTTCAAGCGGATAATCGGCTCTAAATACGAGAAGGTTGAAGAGAAGCGGTAACAGGGTTTTCATCCGAGTTCATAAGTTTTGCTTCAAATCTGCTAGCGGATCCAAATATGTAGGTAGAAGTAGATAGAGTGATAGATACAAGGAGGTCATCATCGACGTCAAGAGAGGGGTTCGACAGGGCGACACCATCTCGCCCAAACTCTTCAGCGCCGCTCTCGAGAACGTCATGCGTCAACTGGAATGGGAAGACATGGGAGTGAAGGTCGACGGCCGGCAACTACACCACCTTCGTTTTGCTGACGACATCGTTCTTATAACGCCGAACATCGAGCAAGCGGAGCGAATGCTGGCTGATTTCGACTGCGCCTGTGGTAAGGTTGGTCTACAGCTGAACCTAACGAAGACGATGTTTATGAGAAACGGATTGGTTCCTGATGCCCCATTCACGCTCAACGGAACGAACATCACCGAATGCTCCAGCTACGTGTACCTAGGTCGGGAAATCAATATGATGAACGATCTAGCTCCAGAGCTGAGCAGGAGGAAACGAGCGGCTTGGGGAGCGTACAAGAACATCGAGGGAGTAGTGAAGAAGACGAAGAACATCCGGCTCCGTGCCCACCTCTTCGATTCCGCTGTCCTTCCTGCCCTAACCTACGCCTCAGAGACTTGGACTCTGCGCAGGCAGGACGAGCATGCGGTCAGCGTTATCCAACGCGCTGTCGAGAGGACGATGCTAGGAGTAACCCTATACACGCAGGCGCCTACATCCCGTCACTACTTCCATTTCTGTGTGCGAGAATTAACCGACCTGATGGTATTTCAGTCTTTAAATGTAGTTATTGAGTAACAGTAATATTTCAATAGTTCAGGACAAGCTCACTATTGTGGGAAGTTTTCTGTCATAATTAACTTTCAGATTAGTAGCAGCTACCAAACCGGCGGAATACAAGACTATGAAGCATAAGAAACGAGTATATTTTGCCATCGGCCTCACATGGGTATTCAGTGTTGGCATGTCACTACCTCTGAGTAAGCGTCTCTCTACTCTTGCTTTTCACTTGAACTCAATACTACACATTTTCTACTCGAATTAGCAAAAAAAACTCAGACTTTAGACTTATTCTCCAAATATTTCTTAATGCAATATCAAAAAGTAACTCGGGTACTAGATTAGTTAAGGGGGTGGGGCAGTCGTCGCCGTGGCGCGTAGCATGTTCGCGCCCTTTGGTACACAACACTGCAAACTCGCACATTGCAGCTTTTCACGCATGTCAAGGAACTCGCTCAACCCCCCCCCCCCCCCTTGAGTCATGCACCGCGGCCTGCTCACGGAAGTGCACCTTGCTTTACACTGAAGGGCGCGATCATGCCGCGCGCCGGCGGCTGGCCCTTGGGCCGCATTGTCCCTTATTTTATTCGACGCTTAATTGGTATTATTGCCGCGCCTATTTCGTATCAAATACCAATCTTCCAGGTACTGGTTTCAATACCAAAACTGAGCATTTCTTGCTTACTGAACATCACTGTGGTATATACAGTCCAATGTATATGCTGGGTAGTAGCATATTCGCTTTCTATTTACCTTGTTTTGTGATGCTCATTACATATGGATATATATTCTATTCTTTACGAAAGCGACTGCAAGCCATTCAATTACAAGTGAGCTTTCAAAATTTCCTTTGAATAATATTGTAGATCTTCCTGCTTGTGTACGCTTTGTATCTGCGGGCCAGGATCGTCTGCACTGCAGACCCCACAACACAAGGGGCGACTACCCCCACAAAATGTAATAGTTTTCTGTCAACGAAATGATTCCCGCGTCGTATTCTATCCATTTTCACTAGTAATGTCATTTATCAGTTATCAGTTGCCATTATAAACTATCGTCTATCACATTTTTTGGAGACCGTCGTCACTTGTATTGTAATGTCTGCAGTGCACCGTTTGTTTATTATTGCGCCTAATGGACGCACGCTGAAGTGATGTTTCAACAAATATTTTTAAGAGGGAACAAACTGCATTTGAACGATATTGAGCATGTTTGTTGAGCCTTTCACGATTGCATATTCCAGGAAATGGCCGGCGGACAATTTCTTGGTTTTGGTGCTGACGTTGGCAATATCACTACGTCGGCCATGCAATCAGTGATTGGTATAGACTTTTATTTGCTCTTATGTTCCAGTTAATTCGATGGAAAATGGCATGTTCAAGGTATTGCGCCGAAGAACCGGAACATGATCACGTGGGAGAAGCCGTTGCTCCGGAAAATCGAGGAAACTGCTGCCGAACATGCCAGTTCACTAAACGACAGTGAAAGAGAGCAGGTGGGGTTCCTGTCAGACCAGCCATGATGTCGACGGGATCGACGACATTGAAAAGTGCAGTTAGGGCAGTGAAGTTACAAGTTTTATCCTCCTCTACACTCTGACATAATAAGTTTCCACGTAAAATGAAAACACGATTGGTGAGGCAAACAGTTCACCAATGCTTCTAGAAAAGCTCTGTTGCCCTAGCTGCGATACAGCGTCGTTCCTTCAGGTGACCGTAATCAGCAAGAAGGCCTGCACTGGAATCTATTGCCGATGTTCCCTTTGAGTTTTTCAGATTTACTCCATATCTTGGCAAATGGGCGGAAGTGGTGTAGTGAAGTGGCGCGCTTACCACGCGAGCGGTCCGGGGATCAAATCCTGGGTCGTGAGTCGCCCGGGCCAACCAAGCCTTCCATCCCTCCGGGGTCGGTTAATTGGTACCAGACTTGTCTGGGAGGATAAAAACACTGACTTGTACATCGGCTGGCCCCCGCAAGTCATTGTATAGGCCACATCGCATTCAAACGCCACTGCGAATGTACAAATGGAAGTAGAATGCGTGCCGCATCCCAAAAAGGGATTGATCAACGGCAAATGCTTTATCCTTTATCCTTTAAATGCTCCTATAAATAAAGTCACACTGGAGCTTCACAGGAGAGAATCGCAACTTTAAATTTTACATAACCTCCTTTGTTGTTGAATTGCGATTAAAGATATTAAAGGAAATGATTACGATAATGAGGAAGCGCATTGGGAAAGTACAGGGTGGCCGAAAAGTATAAGACGCGGCTTTGACCGCTTGCTGGCACTGAGCCTTGGAGTATTTTCAGAGTATTTTCGAAACTCTTCGAAAGCTTAGGAAAAGTATAGTAAAACCTTTGTGGCTAAAATCTGTGTATAACTTAGAAATGCATCTGGTACGATGGGTCATGGATCTACCCAAGGCGGACAGATCCAAACTGTCTGGGAATGTTTGCTTTGGCAGTTGGGCTGATCATGCCGTTACAGGGCTTAGAATTTATTAGGCAAGGCCAAGAGATGATCCAGACTAATTCTCTTCCCCATTTGTTCCCGATTGAACGGCGTATAGAATTCAGTTCGAAGTTGATAGTACGACAAGTTCCAAAATTTTCTGTTTCAGCTCCAAACAATACTCGAAGCCGTTCATCCGTCATCATCAGGAAGTCAAGACAATATGACCATCGAAGAGGACAATGACCGACCGCCATCGGTTTTACTGGAAGCGGTCACTCTCCGAAGCGAGACCACCAAACATGGCTTTGTGCTGGAACTGCCTGAACCCAAATACGCAAAGAAGTTCGTTAATTAGCTTCTCTTTTATCTTCGCCGTGTAACTGGCTTCAAGGCAAGGTCCGGGATTTCTGGTCGAACGGTTACCGGATGACTTGACAAGGCCGAAGCGCTAAGGCTCTAGAATGCAGTATTATCCACCCAAAACCTGACCCTACCCACAAATCAATGCTATTCCAGTTCGTGGCTACTGGAGAGGGGGAATCATTAATGTCCTTGTCGACAGTTCTTTTCCCATTTTTCATTACTGTCGTTACACTTCACATGTTTGTTGTCAATTACAAAAAAAACACATCAGTTTGGTCCAGGACTTTGCCTTCGAGAGCATTCCCATGTGCTTCATTTCCTTGTAGTATACACCATACAATAAGGTGCTGTTCAAGCTCATTTTTTGCCTGCAAAGATCTACTACGAATATTAATCGCTACGAAATGAGGGAGGTCATTTCAAAGAATTAGCGTGCTACGGTCGCCTCAGGTGCTGCCTACTCCAATCCCGATAGATACTACGCTTTCTGCATAGAACTAATCTGTTTTGTAACTTAACGATTCCTTTAGCATGTCCCGACGATTTTCGGATGCGGTTCACTCCATTTCAACCCGAGGACGAAAGAAGTCGGTGAGCTTCAGAAGCGCCAGTGATCGACGAAGATATTCAGAACTTCCGCCTGGCTCCGAAGTGAACGATGGTCAAAAACAACACAATTTACTGCGACCATCGGTGAGTACTATTTAGTACTAGGAAGAAGTTCTACTTAGTTCATAAAGTCGAGATTGAAGACTGAAGGGGGGATCCCACTAAAAGGTCGGAGATCGAAGCAGGGGAACCTACCTAGTGGACAGACACATGTACCCCCTAACCAACACGCAATTCGCAATGAAGGATGTGCTCTGTCCATCTAGATTGGCCATCCCCGCGCCGCTATCGCTGTACCCTCCCACCCCCTTGCCGTCTGGCTCTAGCCGCGTAGAGAGAGCGTTAGTGTTAAAGAGGTCAGCACCGATGAATTGCCTAACGCACAAATAAACGGGCAAAAGGGGCATCCCATTCCACGAGTTTGGTTGTTTTTCTTAGTTTTCTCTCAATGCCTGCATCACTGACAGCCTATACCTTGATATTTATTGAGCTGTTTTTCATCGTAAACTCCGCCTTTGATTCAAGACGCGAGCATACAAAACGCTTCCCTCTGAAGCTTCTTCCCAAGGCTTCAGCTCCAGATTGAAAAGACCATTAAGAAGAATAATGTTGTAATAACATAGACTATGTATCGATAACTTCCAGGTCGAAAAGCGGAAGATGCGACGGCTTTCGGAGATTATTTCAGACTGGGACCGCCCCTCCAGAACTTCGTTGTCTCATATGTATAGCTATGCACGACGTGAAAGTGTCTACATCGCTCGTAAAAAGTTGGCAGGATTGAAGGTGCGGAATTCCCCGATCATTTCACCAGAACTCCAGTTTTCAAAAAGTGTTCATCAGGACTGGGCCCTGGATCTGCTAGCCAAGTTGAAATCTAAACAAGGAATGGCAATTCGTCGCGAGACCAGAGCAACTAAGCTCGTCGCCACGGTCATGGGTAAGTTAATGCTGAGTTATCTCACCCACCATTCTTCAATCACGAATTTTCCCTTTGAAGGAAGCGATTACGATAAAAGGAAAAATCGGGAAGTCGGGGAAGTTCATATGCCACACGAGCATGGCTTGGCTGGCAAAGAAGCAGATGCGCCGCTTTCATGACGAAAGGTGCTGTGGTTGCTGAGCGATACTTGAAAAGCGCTACACACCAAAATTGTCTACCAGGATGAAGTGATGGGTCACGATGCCATATGCAATGAGACCTACATAGGATGGAATTTTGGACGCTGATCTCATATATGCTTTCCAAATCAGCCCAACGATTTTCTGAATGGAGTTGTGAAAGCAGCGTAGTGGTCAAGGCTCACGCGGCGAGAGGGCGTACGATCGGATTCCCGTGACTTGATTGGTGATTTGGATAGTACAATGTGCTCAGATAAGTAATATTTCATATTTGGAACACGAAATATCACAAAATCGTGCGAATACGATCTAGAACTTCTGCGGAATCCAGGTGCAAGTCGTTAGCAAGTAGCGCTCAAGCTTGTTAGGACCTCCTTGCAAACCCTTAGTCAGATAACTAACAGATAACAGATAACGATAGGCAGCGTTGATCAAGTAACGTAGTTGGTGGCCTTTTTCAACCATGCCGCCACGAGGGCAAAAGGAAGAACCCTCCACGGAATCGATCCTACCACCTCTCGATCATGAGCACAGACCACTACTGCTGCTCCATTTTGCCTCATAACTCCGTTCCTTTGCATGGCCTTTTCAACCCATCATCCTTTCCTGGTTAGTAATTTGGACGAGATGTGTTGCCAGCACAAGTGAAGCAACTCGACTGGAGCATGGATTGACATGGTACCGCTGAACTCGTTGCGGTAGACCCGTCTATGCGCCCGACGTCTTAGCCGAGGCGAATTTCAACGGCCACGCAAGGGTCCCGTTTTGCGTTCACTTGGTTAATTTCTCTGCTTTTTTCGCCACTGGCGTATAATTGAGCACTCCCAGTTCTCCTCCGAATCCCTTCAGAATCTATCGTAATCGCTGCATTTGAATACACATTGTCAGTGTATAGATGTTTTACTAGTTCGGTTTCAGTGGTATTTCTCGCATGTTGGCTGCCATTTTTCACCCTGAATATGATCAAGATCTATAAGCTCATCTATGATTCATGGCAAGTTGATCTGGAGATTTGGTTCCACTGGTTCACTGCTCTGGGCTATCTGAACTCGTCACTGAACTTCTTCATATATTCAACTATAAATCCGGTACATTTCACTTGATTATACTATGCGAAATAGCGAATAACAAATTTCAGTCGTATTTGTAAATGAATGTAGACATGAAGGAAAATAATTTTAGAAATTTCGCCACTCATTCCGGAAGGTTGTTGGGTTTTCGACGGTCGAGGCGGAAAAAAGAAAGGACATGGATGCTTCCTCCGAAGGAAAGTAGCAAGTGAGTTCTTCGGCCCTGGCGGTGGCAATTGCCATCATCAAATTCAAAGGTTTGCCTTATCGCTGCAGCAGCATATTTTTTCTATCCACTGCTAGTTTACTTCACAACCTTCCCCTTCCTAAATTATGAGCTGAACCTGCCATTTCATTGTGTGTTGCTGTTAGTTACAAGTATTTGTGTACAAGTGCAACAATGAATCGGGCGCTGGTCCCCCGCAAGCCTGCCAGGGTGTTCAACTCGTTTCTAGAAAACTTGACATATATTCATTTCCCTGTGAAAAACGTTAGATGTAATGTTGTGAAAGAGCATGAACTTTTTCGGCATATCTAAGAAATTTGGAATTGTTTCGAAATGAGTTTTAAAAAACTAAGGAGCTGTACCAATGTTTCAAATTTTTCTTCACAATACTTCCAAATTATAATGTATCAAAATGCTCACAATATAGACTAATAGCAGAAAAAATTTCTCTACGGAAAAAAAAATCAGGTCCGAAATAGTTAAGTCAATTGCTGCAATTTTTTAAAAAGTACTACTTCTTTAGGGAAGGAGAGTTGTTGTGGTAGGAATACCTCAAGTGAAATAATCTGGAATTGTTTCAATTTCCTGCTTTACGTGGCTTGTGAGCGCTACGATTTTCGAAAAGCCGTCGTAACTAAGCTACAAGGGCATTAAGGGCTTGACAATGCAGCCCTAGTTTTCGTGAGTGATACTTCTATCCACGCCATACAGCGACGCTGCACCTGCGCCCCTATTTCAACGTGCTTCTTCCCATATAATTACGGCAGAGGCTTTCAAACTGAAAATAATAGCAGAGGGCATCAATCACTTTTTGTTCTAACATGACATGCTCTACGGCTGCCCTTGAAATTCAATTTTTACTTTTTTCAGCTATTCATAGCTTTGGAACGTACTCACTACAATACACTTAATGTTGCCTCATTGCAAACAATAACTCATTGAGCCTTCCTAATACCGCCCGTTCATTGCATATTGTTACAAATGCTTTTCCTCATCGGACTTAATTAGGTTTTTTTCAGTATTTTGTAATACTTCAAAGAACGCATGCCTTTTTATGAAAAAATATTATCGAGTATTCCCAAACACCAAAGCCTCCTCCTGAATCAACTGTAATGCCTTGACTCTGCAATGCCTATTTACTCATACTGTTCGTATAATAGTATCATAGATGAGGAATGTGGAGAGAATGATGGGAGCTTCACTAACTAAGGGTCGGAAGTAGCTTTATCAGAATCATTGGCCTAGGCCACCAGATAAAGGTTCCTGGGATTGAAATGACGGGCTCCGACAAGTAAAGAAATAGAATGAAATGGTGGCCACTTGAATTCCCAAAAACTTTTCCCACATCTCAAAGATGACCAAAATCAAAGGAAAACTGTAATATGTGACTAAAGGATTGTTTATTCAAATTTGACTTCTCCTCTCGAAGCTACGACATTTCTGGAAAGCTGGACTCATAGTAGGAATTTTTATTTTCAAATTTTAAGGAAGGTGTGACCATTCGGAGTTTAAAAGTTTGCAGTTCAGAAGGAATCGAAAAAATCACCAGCTGGACTACTTTTGAAATGAATGCCTAAATGGCTAGATGCCCTGAAATGTCCCCCATACGCAGAAACGAGCCCCTGTTAAGTGCCCTGACCGTATTCATACGCAATCTGGCGTCGAGCTCAAAAAGACACTGTATTGCTCCAGCTGCTGCTAAAATAATGCCTCAAAATTAACCCTCTGTTAGAGCAATCCTTTGAAGCAAGAAAAAAAGCTGGAAAAAAAAACAAAAAAAAACAAAAAACAAAAAAAAAAAAAAAAAGGGAGAGAATATCTAAGGTGTCGCCGCACACCTTCACAGAAACGGAACCACCGAGTGGGTGAGCGCGCCTCCGATGGGCAGAATTTATTCTGCAAAGCCTCTTCAGAAGTTCGAGAAAGCGGAAAGACTAGGTAAAGGCTAGGGAGGGGAGGATAACCCTTAATGGTTGGCGTGGCGTGTACGTGTTCGAGGAAATCGATTTCGAGCACAAATTTGGGAAATGGGTTCAGCGATTAGCGCACTTCGCTGAGCAATGCGTACAGACGACGGCTTGGCGTTGATATCGCACTTGCTGCGTCCTTTTCTGCTTCGCAGATACGAAATGTGACCCCATTTGTTGAGAGACATTACCATTCTTTGTGTTATGAGTTATGTTTGTTGTTGTTATTTGTTTATGTTTAGTGCTATAAATAATGTGGTTGAGGTGTACGGAGGTCTAACGTGAGAACACAGGTATGACGTGATGAGGAATCAATGAAGTAGACCATCGATGAACATAGGATAAGATATGATACTGAAGATCGCGATAAGATAGACAGTGGTATAAAAGACCTCTGCAGTGGGAATAAACACTTTATCCACTTCATCAACTATCTCAGTTATCTATTGATATCTACTGCTTCCTATCAAGTGCATACTGCGATACAACAGATCCCTTCGGACTGCAACGTTTCAATGTACGAACAATGATCATCCGCCCGTAGTAAGCTTCTGTTCCAGAGGGAATTCATCTAGTGCTCCTGGTGACCAATAGCTCACGATCGTTATGTTCCACACAGAGTATGAAGCCCTCTGCGCTCTAGCAAACCGTCTATTCCTCTGGAATCAAAATGAAGGGGGTGGCTTGGATTCGTAATCGAATGTCGATTGGCTCGGCGCACCACGTTTAAACCAAACTTATGCACATTTTTTGGATTACAGTTGAATATTTTTCTCGCTATTATTTCCGTTGACATACACATGATTAAACACAGCATAAAACCAACAGGAAATTTGCTGCCACGTAACTTTCTAATCTTGTTCTTCTTTGATTTGGAACAGATACCTGCTGCCAATGGGCTATCTGTCGATTTCAATGAAGTCAAGTACATCCTGTAGGATCTGTTTGGCGCCTTTTTGTACGCTTTAAATCCTTGCAAAAATTCAATCGACACTGGGCAAAGAACGGCACGAGGCTGGCAGATCTAATCAATACCACCCACTCCCATTCAACAAGGCCCAGTGGAGGCGTAACGTACCTTTTAACAAAACCCTTGATAGGTGGGCTGTCCTTGGGCTCATCGTAAAATCGAGCCTTTATTCCACCGCCCACCTAGCTCTCCATGATAAAATATATAAAAGAGAAAATGGGTTAACACTAATACATCGTACTGATACCCTTTGAAGTGGGGAGGGGGGAGGATCGTAAAAATTTTATAATGTGCGCAACGCACGGTTGAAACTGCTTCCAAAAATGACGCTCAATTATGTTATCAAACAACTCCGCCTTCCAACCATCGCGATTAGTGCCTTCAAATGTCTCTATGAGAGCAATACTTGTAGAAAATATTTCCTTTTGCAGAGGTCCAGCAAAATGCGGTTGTGGTTTCAACAAAATCGTCAAGGGACCTTTGAGGAGGGCGAGTTCGTTAGGGTGAGCATTAGTTTTCAGACGTTATAGAAGACGCTAATCCATGCATAAACGTTAACCATTGTGTTTCCTTCTTATATGTACCGAATATTTGCACAGCTCTGTTTCTTCATTACGACTTTCTAGACACTTGAATTTAAAAGCAATAAACAAGAGTTCATCACGACTTTCCCAATATTATGGTCAATTTTAAAGGCAAAGGTCGGGCTCAGGCACGCTAGAGAAGTAATTCCCGTGCCTGGAGGTTGTATGTGGGTAGCTGCACACATTGCAGCAACTTCCCACCTTGAAAAACCCCGTTAAGGCCCCGGGGCGTTCGGTTTCAATCCAGGGACCGCCTCGTCAATCCGGGACCGCCCACCTCCGGAAGTGGTGCGTGGCTGGCATAACGTGTGAAATCGGGTTGGTTGATTGCCGTATCAACCGATAGAACGACTGACATCTCCAGAAAACTTGTTTGTACGTGCCTCTTTCCCCAAGCCAGCCTCCTTCACTGCTAGTGGGAAAGAGGGTTTTGTTAACGGCCTTGTCGACGGTTTTTCTCAGTTTTTTCTCCACTGTCGTTCCACTTCGCATCTCTATACTTCAATCGCCATAATACCCCCTTATTGAGCCCGACTTTTGCCTTTAACAGTTTCGCCTCACTGTTAGTCGTGTAAGTATGTAGGTCGGGTAATATAAAACTGGTTTCTAATCAAATTGTCCGGGGGGGTGGGGGGTTGGATCGCTGGTATCTGACCATGTTCCTTAGCATCTATTCACTCTTCCTGTCTTGGAAAAATGGGGATTTTGGATTTTAGCGCAGCCACCCCTGTGTAAATATATTTCGCTCACAGAATGTTAAGCTCTTCTCATTCGCTACCATCGCTACCATCTATTACTTTTTCACACATCATCACTGCGTATTTCCTACCATCACTCACTGTATTACTTCGGTATACATGCACATCTTCTCCAGGTCATGTGATGTGGACACAGCAAGCACACTACCACCAGTAACTGAGCCTAAAAGGTGACCGTGAACTCGCGATACTTTGGCGACGCACTGTAAACCTTTCCTATTCTCGTTGTGTGATCTTACCAAATGCTGTATTTTTTCCTCGCTTGCCATACTCCTCAGTTGCTTCTTCCAGCTTTATTCTTTTTGTGTACATTCTCGCATGTGCCGTACCACATTAGATGTTGCTACTGTAAAAAGTACAAGAGCATTGGGGTTTCGTCCACCAAGGGCCGCATGTGGTGCGTCTCAAAGCAAGAACCCCAGATCTAATCTGGGGTACAGTAGTCGATAATTAAATTGTGAATGTCGCGACTAAAAATGAAAAGGAAGCAAAGCCAAGTGCAATCAAATGAACAATCAACTAACGGGGATTCCCTCTCTTCCCTTGAATAGAGGGAATGGTGGTCCGGACGAGTTGTCTGAACTTGCTTGCTCCATAGGCTTCCACTAACCCGCGCGTATTTGAATTAGCCGCTACGTCGTAATCCACGTTGCGTGTCATGGGGTGTGCGAGATATCTCGTCCATTAGCTCACATTAGCCGTCATTAGCTCACTTTGTAAGGCCCTAGCGCCATTGTCGCGCACTTTCGAGCCGCGACAACGGCACAACTGTGATACTCGCGGGCTACTCTATCCTACCACAGAATAGATTGCTC